GATAGACACATAGCGTCGTCTTTCTTTGGAAATTAGTGAGATGTATGATAGCTTTTAATTGTATGCGCTGTGAGACAGCTTAGCGAATGTGAAAACATTACACTTGGATGCAATCTTGTTTTTTCTGTTAAGGCTTCAGCTATCTAGACGTCTCAACTAAACACATAGCATCAGCCACATCAGAAAAACGCTTCCAAGAAACTAGGTTCTAACTGGGAAACTTACAGCAAAAGATGAAGTTTGACAAATGGCAGTAAGGTTGTTAAGTTTGTAGTGTGTAAATCGTTCACTTTGCTGGAATTGCCGTTGTATTAAATCCTCTAATAGGACGAGTACAAACGTCTCACTTAATTAGTATCCGGCTGATTGTAATCGTCTAATTAAGGATATTGACTCAACCGACAATTAACCTATCTTAAATAGCCCTCCCGCCTGAACGACCTACACCCGAAAAATTCAAAGCAATCATCAGTTATTTGTGGAACTGCTAATCAATATGCTTTAAAATGATGTAAGACTGGTCAAATATACATATATTTTACTTAAATGTTACTTGCGACGGTCCGATAATATTATGCTCAGCACTTTTGCTATGCAACAGTCAGTCATCGCGCTTTTGTCACCTTGCTGAAGTGGTAAAGACTACATCGACATACGACCTTGAAACAAAAAGAAACAAGGCTGCTAAAAGTAATATTCAAATTCTTTTGTGAATTGGATACAGATGAGACTAAATCTCAATATCGAGAAGCGCGATATACTTGTGCCTCGACCCTCCGTACGAAGAAAAATGAAAGAATGCCCCAAATGTTTGTATTTATGTGTAAGCCAAAAGACTAAAGGAAGTGAAAATACACCAGCTTAATGGGGAGACAGTAATGCTTCATCACTAGTGGAGGACGACTTTGGTACTGTACAACTGGAGTACGAATAAACTCGATGTATTTGGTCTGTTAAATAAGCTTGACATAGGCGAATTCACGGAACCTGACGGACTTCATTCAAGGTTACTAAAAGGACTAGCTAACTACGTTGCGAATCCCATAAGTATATGCTTTAATCCATCCGTAGCACAGGGTCGTTCGCAAGCTATCTGAATTATCAAAGCTTGTCCGATATCCGGAATTACTACATCAACTTTCCCCTTTGACAGACTCTCGAGAATCAGCTTGTGCCAGGTTATCGGCAATGAGTCTAGAGGAATGACCACTCGAAGGAGTAGAAATTCTGTGAGCAGTCCAGCTCAATATGTTATGTTTCTGGTTTCCATATATTTTCCGCAATATTTGTTTCTGAACTGAACTATCCAATACTAGTTGAAAATCTCCAACGTCAAACTGACGAAAAGTGTGCTTCAAGGCTACCAGTGTAAAATTTCACTTACAAGAATTTCTGTCACATTCTTCATACGATTTGGATGATAGGTAATCAATGTACTCAACTTCTTCCGTTGTAGAGTTCTCTAGAGAAGATCTATTTAACTTGTGTATGTAATTTACGGCGCTTCACACATGAATTGCCATACAATTTGAAGATTTGAACATAGCCACATTATTTTCTTTCCATCTTTGCGGTCAAGTCAAACCCCTCAAGGTCATCCTGGTTACAAACTTCTCTTCAAAGTTCACAGTCGCCACTCGAAAGTAAGAAATCGGCGGACTAGGGTGACTCACACGAATTAAGAATAAAAGAGATCCTTGGTTTGAACCCTTAGAAAAATCATTTGAACATCCAGAAACCTGAGATAATGAATCAGTTGTATTAGCCTTGAATGGTCTATCTGTCTTTCGATGGTGAATGAATATCTAATACCATGGGTGCAATTAAAAGGCATTCAGGTTGACCCTATCAAACGTTTCAGACTCTTAAAATTAAGGATGATGGTTCATCTATCCACTATACTCAAAATATACTCTCCTAAAGTCAGCTTGTTCAAACGGAAACAAATTTATGGGTCGGCATAAACCAGAGATAAACCATGTCGCACCCTAATGTGTCCTCAATTAATTGACTGAAAAGCATCAGTAGAAGAAGCGTGGATTCATTGACGGCAGTTGTACAATCCAATAATTCAACCATTTATGCCCCGGACAGTCCCACAGAAGAAGCACGGCCATCCCTGGATAGTCCGAGATATTCGGCGTTTACTAAGAAAAAAGAAGAAATGTTGAAGATTTGCCTTCGGGCTTGGCACAGATAGTGAGACGTAATGTCACAGGTCATGTTATGACAGGCTGTTCCGGAGCAGTTTTCACACAGGATTCTCTTCTAGACAATGAATTCGATTCATTTACAAAGCCAATAACCATCTGTTCACTATAAGCGTCGATCGAGACGATGTGATGACAACAATAATAATATATTTCTAACTGAACATATACATGCCATTTTTCCAGGCCTGATCTACAAATTACAACATTCGTTGGCTCATGGTATGCTTCCCAAGTAGGGCCATAAAATAGATAAAATCAACAAAAGTGAGTAACAGCACATTCGTGCAGATGCCATAAAGCCCTAAGCACTTTAGACACGGAAACGTCAACAGGACCGGATGGACTACACCTCAAAATCTCGAGACAAATTGCACACCATATTGCGATCCCACTGACTGTGATACTTAATATTCCTTTTTTTAAGGCGTGTTATCTACGGACTGGAAGGATGCAATTGTCACTCCAATACATAGAACAGGACCAAGACAACTTCCAGAGAACTACAGACATGTCAGCCTCACTTATGTCGTAGTTAAAATACGTAAAAGAGTAGTCAAAATTCCGTAATGACATTCCTGGAAATCAATGACTTGTTGAACAGTGATAAGTTTGGTTTCAGGGAAAAAATATCTTGCACAACAAACATCCTTATAGCATGAAAGCAAAGGATAGAAGCTCTAGATAATGGAAAATCAGTGGATATTGCCTTCATAGACTTTAGCAAAGCACTCGATAAAGTGCCGAAAAACAGTTTGTTCATGGAGACCACGTCCCAGTTCTGAGAGGTTGCATCTTAATGGTATAGAACCCTTTGGGCTTAAAAACGGACATTCACCAAGTTAAATACTGCTATGTTCACTATAGTATATACAACCTAAGTGAGAGCTAAATTTGAAAACTGAGTTCAGGCTGCAAACCCTCGATTAAAAGGCGACTCCAATATCCTGGAAAAAGTTAAGAGGGTAGTTGCACAGATTTGTGATTCACCATACACAGAGCGGTTTCATAAGCCAGACCTATTTATTCTATCCAAACTCAGATTGAAAGGCGATCTGATTTTGATATATATTAAACTAATGAATGATTTTGGACCTGACACATCTCTTTATTTTTCCTTCAGATCAGGGGGCGAACGAAATACCAGTGGTATGCATGGTTTCAGGAAGGATTATCATGCACAACCAACCTGCTGACTGCGGTGGACAGATGGACAACCATCCTCGATCGCAAGGGGAAGGTTGACGTCATTTACCTTGACTTCTCAAAAGTTTCGATAGAGTCAACCATGTATGCCTTATCAATAAGCTCATACGATTGGGCATCAAATCACCTCTGATCGACCGGCTCACTTCATATCCGAAAAATCAACATTTCAAGGTCAGGATTAACTTCACTTTTTCTCAGGTTATGGAATGTCCTAGTGGGGTCATCCAGGGTTCAGCACTAGGACCTCTTCTTTTCTTGATTTATATAAACGATCTTCCACAACAGGTATCGTCTGATTTCTTAATTTTTTCTGATAATGTGAAACTTTGGAGAGAGATACGTAACCAAGAGTATATACTGGCACTTCAGGAGGATCTGGCTCGACTTCGAAGTTGGGCAGATGACAACGGACATGTTCATCTGCGACATGTTACAGACTACAGTTACAATTTAGGAAACTCCTCTCTAGAAGTATCCAACTTGAAAAAGATTTAGGAGTGCTGGTACCCTACGATTTGAAGCCTTACGCTGTGACGAAATCGCCTTACGAGCAAACCCTGCACTGGTAGCACTGAAGCGTATTTCTGGCCAGTTTGAGCTTAGAACTTTCCACATAATCTACGACAGTCTTATTCGTCCCCATTTAGAGTACAGAAACTTGGTATTCCCTCCCTCACTCTAAAAGGATAAGGACACTCAGGAGCGTATCCATAGGCGAGCCACAAAATCTGTTCAAGGATTCAAATTCAAGCCTTATGAAGAGCGCCTCCAATCACTAAATCTTTACACATCGGAATATGAGCGTCTTAAATGTGGTCTTCTAATGGCTTGCAATATCCTTATCACTTGTGGACGTCTTCTTGAACACCTGCCTAATTTTAGCCCTAACACAAAACTAAGGAGTAACACCCAGAAACTGGAGACACAACGTAGCAGAACGGACTGTAGACGCAACTTCTACTCCATAAGAGTTGTCAAAGGCTGGAATTCGCTGCCGGTTGAGCTAGTTCAAGCGACTTCCCAGGAGTCGTTTAATGGGAAACTTGACCTATTCTTAAGATCTAAGGATAATATCTTACTACGATTTACCAATTTTTTTTTTTCTTCTACTATCGTTAAGATACCTAGGTTCCTGCCTGGAGGTATCGGTGGTCCACAGCCATTAGACACGGAAACCTGTCCACAACCATTTGAACCATTCGAACTTTTTCACAGAGAGTCATCAATTCTTGGAACCCGTTACCCGAAGCAGTGGTGTCCACACCTTCAATTGACTCATTCAAGGGAAAAAGAGACACTCACAGGAGCATACTGAAAAAAGAGTGACATAGGCTGTAGTCCTTCTGTCCTTACTACACAAATCTAAATCTGATCTGAATCTAAAAGATGTAGTTAACGATGACCTAGCCCAATACTTGAATTACTAAAGGATAATAATTCTAATTATGGCATAAACATGGTATTCGTTTAGCACTGAATTATTATTAGTGTCATCTCAAAATATACGGTTTGGATTTATAACGCCTTTTGAATGAACTACAGTTTGGTTTCTAATACCACTAGCACTGTTTCAAATAGTACCAAGGTCGCTGAATGGACCTACTTGCTAATTTTAATGACTTAGAAGAGTGTTTAATATCAGATGATCTTTTCGAAAATTACTTCAATTATTTCTTGTCGCTTCCGGTTAGAAATACATTTTAAGTATAAACAGTATATTTATAATAGGTTTTTTCGCTTAAGTTACAGTACAATCGACTAAGTGGTGAATTTACCCTCACGGATTCGTGTGAACTTGATATTAAAGAGTCATCACGTTTAGGTCTTTCAGAGGAAGATCGAGAACGCGTTATTAAATGGGCTGAATCGGAACGTCTTCCATACTTTATGCGGTAAATTACCTCTTTGTAAAAATATTTTCAACACTTCCGTAAACAGGAGTGATGTTTACAGGGAACTATTACTGTGCAAGTACTTGATAGCCCCACTTGAACTGAATACCGATCTCATCGATTATTGGGAGCCGTTTAGTGCAGATTTAGCTAGCACTTTAGGTTGTCATCCTGGAGTTAGTAGGCATACTTATACTTCCTGGACGACAGATCTCAGCACTTATGATGATGAAACAGAAAGCAGTTATGATTACAGTTCTGAAAAAGTTAGTGAATTTTGCTTAATTTAAGTGTATATATAGGTAAAATACTGTGATTTTTAATGAACTATACTAATGACTGACACTCGTTAGGTTTATGTATATTTATATCAGTTTGTTGAAATAGCTTTCATTTAAGGTTTCTTTTCTTCAGCCTACAGTGGTGTGTTATTAGAAATAAATACCTAGCACTACTTTTTTAAGCCGTTAGTAAGGTGACGACACACTTTCACTCTGAATGCCTAAACATTAGTTGCTTTCATGAATAATATTGGTAGAGGATTTCACCGTGTTACGATGCCATATCAAGACTCAGCTTTTATGCTCAGACGACTTTTTTCGTTCGCAAATTTTTTCATAATGTCTAATCACCCGGTCAAATGTAATTGGTTATCACTATCAAATCTGGCAACAACAAAGTCCAACTCAAATTAAACACAACCATCAAACTAAACTACGTAAAGATCTAAACTAAGAAGAGTTATATATATTTTGGGCATGGATCAGGCAACGAAAGTGCGCTGTAATTGCAAAATCTGTCCTAATTATTTCATATATCATTATTACTTCTAGTGAGTATAAAGAATACTTTTACACAGAAATAATTTGAAAATACGGATTCCCGTAATCTATTCTACATCTCTGTATGTTTATCTAGAGTTTTCCCATTCGTGGATTAAACATAAACTCCGTACTATCACAATCCTGAAAGTGTACTTCATCAAATGTAAGTTGTGCATTCCTAAATCGTTAATGTCTAGAATCCGTACCATGCACTTTCAAACATTCGTCATCAGAATCTCCGTGGACGGTTGAGGGTCATTCCCATGATAATATCTGACTTCCATAGACTGAAGAGATCTCATATTCGGACAATAAATACTTTCATCCAATAATTTTTGATCACTCTGTCTCGTTGGAGAACGTTTGGAATTCCTGTATTGCAGCAAAAATGTGTTCACTCCCCTCATTAGTTCATTTAATGCTATGGTGGTAATGGAATTACCAACAGTTTTTAACGCATTGACAAAATTATCCTTCTGACCGTCAGAACGAATGTCTTTGGGGGCAACAAACAGACTTTTTCACCCTATCTCATTCAACCAGGTAGAAGCTACATTTCTAGTAGAGTGAGAACCATAATTAGTCACTAATATCATATGGACAGCTTTCCGACTGAATCGTTTTCCGAATTCTTGGATTGAGGGGTCAGTTCTCGCTAAGATCATAAAAAAATAATTCAGCCTGATTAGGTAAGAAACTAATAAAAACAAGTACATAATATCCGCCGAGAAATGGAATATAATATTCTACATGAATTCTCTCCTAGGCTTCAAATAATACTGGTCATCAGATCTACTTTGAGGGATGATTTTTTGAGTTGTAACATTTTTCACAAGTGTTTGATGTGCAACATCTTGATGAAATAGACAGGAAATCTACGTTTTATATTATCGTTTCAATCTTTTTGTATAGCATTAAGCAAAACTCTAAAGGGTGAATGAGTTTCTCCAATAAGATCTGAATAGCTGACCGGTGAACACTGTATTAATCAAGTCAGAAGCATTCATAGGTTTATCTTGCAATAGATTTCTAAACATCTAGTCTACATTTTGGATTTATTCAGCACTTTTGTGCTAACTGGTTTGGTTGTAAGAAGAAATTCAAAGAAGTGCATCGCGCTGAAAAGCATTTAGTAGACTTTGTTAGCATAACTTTTTGTCCCACACTGAACTGAAATGAGTTGCATGTTTAAATTTAAGATAGACCGCAAACACAACATGAGTGATTGGAAATGAAACAAGGATAATATTAAAGGGGACCTACCAATGAGTGCAATTCTGTAAGGGATAGTGACGGTTATTCTTTGGTAAGCAAGTTTTCCCGCCTCAAACCTAGCTGCAAACCACGGTCATCAACCAAATATCCAAGATATTCAAAGACAGATACACAGAATAAACACTTATTTGAATATGCAGGAATATTCTGCTCAAAAAGACAATGTAATGAGACAATAAGTCTCTGATGATGCTCATCTTGATAAACTTCAACACCTTTAGGATTACCGATCATATTATTCGTCAGTTCTTGAGAAATAGCTAGAGGATAACTTCAATCAAATGAAAAGTAGTTCTTTTTGAATTGATCAAGAAGAGTAATAATTGTTATTAAAAGGAATGAAGATTGATCTAAGAGAATTCAAAGGTAAGGATCTTTTAAACCATTTTTCAAGGATGCTTAAGAATCACGAAGTCGATTAAGATTATCTTAGGCCTCAATTGTAGTGTGCGTTTGATTCAACAAACAAGATGTCAATGTTAACCTGCAATCATTATATATTCTAGGGACTTCACCATAAGATGGCATAAGATTTCCGAGAAGAAAGTTAATCGCGAGATAAACACTTGTCAAAATTATGCTCACTTTTGTATGCTTCTTTCGAATTCTTTGTTGAATTGTTTATTATGTTTCCATGGCAATGAAAATCCTTACAAACTAACCACGAATTTGAGAGAGCCTAAGAACAAATTTTCACTATGAAAAATGAATAAGATAAAATTAATACGACTCGTTATAATCTCTTGAAGTGAAATTTTAAGTATTTAAATTAAATGTCTTTCAAATTTTGGGATGTTTATACCAGCAATTAAACTACCACGAGGTTGAATTTACAGAAGATTTTCAAATTTCAATTCTCAGACCGTTTTGGCAGTTCCATTTATGAAGCCTCAGAATTTCAGGCTATTTTTAATCATTGTTTTATGGGAATAAAATCTTTCTGCGTTCATATTAGTTCACTGCAAATGGTTAAACAATAATCGTTGGAGGGATTTATCTGGCAGTGAAATTGGCTCGTCTGGAAAATTAAGATTTTTGAGTAGGTTATATGTATATTTACTAAGGAATATAAGGAACTGAAGGGAAAGTTTATCATCCTTGACATCTTTTCTGATCAAACATCAGATTTCAGATCACTCCACATGGTTTTCAAAACTTTCCCACTTGAATTAAAATACAATTACCCAAGAGCTAACACCATCGTGACCCTAATACGATAATTAGTAGCCTAATTTGATGAACTAACTATCCAACTTGTACTCGAGTAGTCATGAGTGGAACAATATTCAAGTCATAGGAAATCAGTCAACACAAACGAAAGTAATAAATTTTTTATTCAAATTAAGTAAAGAATGATGTAGAAAGGAATTGTTAATTAATTCAAACACCACATCATCGTTAAGAAATAAGGACTACTTATATGAAGTCCTGAAAATTCGTGATTTAGTTAACAGCAAACAACTTAGATATTCTTCGTTTAATGGGTCGAAAAGTTGATTTGCACGTATTAATCAAGTTCATAGTCAATTTCATTGTAGTAATCTATTGGTTAGTTACCACATAACACTAGCATCTTGACAACATTTTAATGCTATTAACCTTAGCAACTTGAATCGGTCGTTCATATCTCTTAAATAAATATCATAATAAGTTAATATGTGATCATACCCTCTGATGAACTCAGTTTTAAGAAAAGAAAAGGAATGACAATTAGGAAACTTGAGAAACTGTTTTTGAGTGAATTATTTAGTATATCTTTGATTTGTGATATGATTCATGATATTTTATATAGCCTTAACTCTAAGCCAACTTTTCTACTACTCTTACTGCTCATAAATTACAATTAAGGAAGTAACCATAACTAACTTACTCAGAATTATGTCAATAAGAATAAGACTATTGCCAGTTCAAGGTCAAATGTATGTTACTGCACACTTACATATCTCTTATGTTTCTACTACAAAAATACTTAAAAATTCGCCAGAAATTTATAATTTTCATATTTTGTACATCAACTTTGAGATGCAGGTACATCCAGATGATGAGTCCCAAATATGACGAAATGCGCGTTCTGGATTTCACTGCTAGCCACTAGCCATCTTTGCTTATAAAGCTTGTGAATTAAGGCAATATCGAAGCAATACACACAGTATGCACATATGCCAATACGAGACTGATCAATTGCAGTCTTAAAGTTCAATGGGAAGATTCAAGCAAAACAACACGAAGTGAATTTTATTTGTTTAGTTTAGAACTAATAGGTTCTGAAGGTGAACATTCCTAGACATATGATCCGATTGTCCATAAATACTCTTAAATATTCTAACAGACTTAAGTGACGTAATCAAATTAGTAGTATTGTTTACTTACATACAATAGATTACTTCTGGCCTCCAGATAATCAAGAAAACACATCATCTCGATAAATGTATAGAACATTATCAGATAGAATAGTAATTATTACCATATGTTTCTGAAATGTGATAGGACTATAGATTCAGACTAGCAATGAAGTCAATTCGTCAACAGAGAATTCGAAATCAGCAGTATTTAATTATATGATAGAATCATGACAGATTGAAACAAATAATAATTCATCATGTAAAATAAACAAAAGTAACAACAACAATCCAATTGCATGAATATGGAAGATTACATAGAACTGACTAGAAATCAAATGAACCCAACAGAAGATGAATAGAAATCTATCGAGAATATTCCATTGACAATTGCCTGTAGTCTTGTTGGTCAATAATACCCTAGTTGTGTTTTGTATTTATGATTGATTATTTTTGAAGTACTTTGTTTTCGTATAATAATCAGTTACATCAAGCTTGTAGATATGCCTTACTGACAATTCTAAGCTAATATATGAAATCTAGGTCGTAGTGGTTTCCTGCTAATCTCTGCCAACTATCATCACATTACTTCTGTTATTTGATAATTAAATTTCTTGTAAAAATATACATATAATAACTCCCATTAATAGTTATACCTTAAAAATCTTTATTTGCGTATATTAAAGGTAGGAAATGGATGTATTTTCATTTTATCAACATAGTACATGACATATATATAACATATTGTTTTGTTAAATTAAGGAATATTGACTCCAAGACAAGTTAGTAGCTTCTATAGATGTTTAGTAACACTATAAAAATTTAGTAACTAGTAAGATGGATAGATTTTTCAAATAATTCAGTCAGTCAGCAACAACGTAGAACATCGTGCGTACGTACATCAGTTCAAGTTGCCATACCACATTTGCGCAGAGATACAATTGTCGATTGAAATCCCAAAGTGGTAGAGGTAGTAAGAGTATAAGCAGTAGTCGGAAACATTACGGTTTGAAGATGTTATTTAAGGAGTACAATCCAGTGAAATAAATTTGGAGAAAGAAAAAAATAAAAGGACATGAAGAATTTAGAAGATTAGAATTTGGGAGAACACAACGAGTGAATGCACCTACGCCATTGCAAATGATTTTGAACCATGTCATTCAAGGTCTCTAACTATCGGTTGCTATCGTCTCGCGGATCCCAAACAGCTAGTCTACATCTACCAACATGGCTCAGTTCACTTGTCAGTGACTTCATGGATCTGTGTCATGTTTTGATCTGGCCATCGCTAGTTTTTTTCCAACCTATTCCTACACCAGAAAACATTGCTCGTCGGGGCAGTCGGTGGTTCAACTCTTATTTACAATGTTTTTCAAATAATTATTCACCCTATGTACAAATCCTGAATATCAATCAAAGTTTATGGATCAGTGGTAGCTATATTGTCAGCAAACTATGTGACATGATTTGTATATTTTTATTTATTTATTTATTTATTTAAATACATAAATATCAGTACAAAGTAGTCACCAAATAGATATGTGCCACATAAATCATTCGATTTGTGTGAGGGCTGGGATACTACCCATGTGCCCAGTCTGAAGCAGATAGTTTTCTCAAGGGGGCCACACTCGGAGCCTTCGACTTAAAGGCGTAATTCACAAGGTAGTGGAAAAACGTTAGGAGATGCAGTTCCATGGTAGTCGGTGACCAACAATAGGTTCATATACCATTTGTTCCTTTAGGATCCTGGAGCCCATGTGTACCATTGGTTTAGAGTGAGTGTTTCCCAACCTCCTTATGTGGACTCTTCTTATCCACCAACCCGGTTGAAGCTCCGGACATTCGCTTTTCATCGAC